TCCCCCCGTGGTCCCCTCCCCACTCCTCAAGTCCCCCTCCCCCGCCCCCTACTTACCAGCACAGAGTCTGGGTCCAGCTCCCTGCTGCAGCCAGTGGGGCTTCCTGAATTGCCGAAGCTCTCCTAACTTTTTCTGAATCAATTCAGAGAGCTTCGAATCAATTCGGATCTTTGAAATTGGTCCCCTGATTTGATTCAGATTCGATGATTCAGTTACCGAATGGGAAGGAGGGGAATGTAGCAGTGCAGGTAAAACTGTAGACGTACCTGGGAGTCCGCTGTCCAGCAGGTTTTAGTGTGTCAGAATTCCACTGTCTATATTGAGTCCATGAGTTTCTGTACCTACTACCTAGGAGGCTGATGAAGTGAAGTTCATAGGCCCACCTGTGAAAAGTGGTTTGTAAATTCAAACAAGCACCAAACCTTGCTAACATAGCCTCATCACCAGAAGCAAACTTCCTACAACTTAAAACACAAAACCTGCCAACAATTTCCAGTACCCCCACAAACTGCACACCAGAATCCATCAAAGACAACAATACCCAACTATCTGTGGGGGCACATTTCTCACAAAAAAAACCCACTCTGTCTCCAGTCTCTCAGGCCTGATCCTGAAAGGGAATGTACAAACCACTTTTCACAGCCAGGCCTATGAACTTCACTTCATCAGCCTCCTAGGTAGTAGGTACAGAAACTCATGGACTCAATATAGACAGTGGAATTCTGACACACTAAAACCTGCTGGACATCGGACTCCCAGGTACCTCTACACTTTTACCTGCACTGCTACATCCCCCTCCTCCCCCACCCCAGCCTGTCCCTCACCCCCTAATGCCTCCATTTCCATTTTCACTGACTGGATTTCTTTCATGTGGACCATACTGGACTACAAGGAATCAAGCCAACTTCAGCCACTTCACCAGTGTGGTGTGGTTCCCTTTGGGGAAAGTGGCTTGCCCCACCCAGGAACATTGATCCCCTGGAAGCTCTCCATTTGGCTCTGAAGTTCCCTCACTATGGGGATCACCTGGCTAAGGAGGGCATCACCAGCACTGAGCATCTCAGTGGCCTCAAGGAAGGGCTTGAGGACCATCAAGATCTGGGAGATGGTATCCCACTCAGCTCTATTCAGTGGGGTGCTGATCCCAATCTCCCCAAGCAAGGCCATCTCATGGATGGTCTTCTGTTGATCCACCAGCCTCTCACGCATCAGGTATGTGGAGTTCCACCGAGTCTCCAAATCCTGCATGATTTTGTGCTGCGGGATGTTCAGCTCTGTCTGTTTGTCCTGCAGCATCTTGTCCCCCTTGATGCTCTGGTGGAAATAGCCTGTCACCTTCCTGCATTTGGAAATAAACTTGCTGGGGGTGCTGGTGCCATCACTGGCAGCCCTGTCCCCCTCCAAGGCATCCCTGACAATGAGGTGCAACTTGTGTACCACACAGCAGATGCCAACAAAATTGGCATCATGGATCACCTTGACCATTTTGGCCCCATTGTCGGTGACCATGAACCCATGAGTGAGCTTCCTCTACCCAGTGAGCCACCCCTGCACCAAGCAGTTCATGGCCCCCAAGATCTTGGTTGCTGTGTGGGACTCATCCATCACCTCAGCTTGAAGAAGAGCCCACCAACAGCCTAACTAGTTGTACCAGTGCCCTGTGAGGGAGAGGTAGGTGTGTTCTCCACCCCAGCTCCTCCAGATGTCCGGGGTGACATGTAAGGCCACCTGTGGCCCTGCCTTGCACAGCTCCTCCCTCAAGTACTCCCTGCATGCCTCATACAGGGAGGGCACCACTGTCCTGCTGA